CACCATGCCGTTCGTCTGGGGATGGTATGCTGTTGTTAGCGCTGTTGTTGTCTCTAAGAGTTTACATACTTCCTGAAATAAACTACCAATAAACTCCTGTCCCCTGTCAGATACTAGAACTTTAGGCGGACCGAACACAGTAACAAACCTAGCTAAAAATGCATCTGCCACTGTTTGGGGGTCTTTCCTGGGAAGGGCTACTAGAGTGGTATACCTGGACAGATGGTCCACTAGAACTAGCGCATATCTGTTGCCTGAATTGCTACTATGTAAATCAATTAAATCAGCCCCCACCCGATCCAAGGGTTCTGTTATCTCTGAGAATTCCTGGAGTGGGGCTTGTACTTTAGGAGTACCTTTGCGTCGTTGACAGTTCCCACATGACCTGACGTACTTAATTACATGCGATAATAACCCTGGGAAATAAAATAATGACTTGGCCTTTGTGTAAGTTTTGTACACTCCCGGGTGACCTGCAATCTTTGACGCATGCGCAAGTTTTAATGCCGAAGGCTTTAATGCGTCAGGGATAACTAGCTGAAACAACGCCCTGTCTTTCTGGGCATTTACATGGTACAACACTCCTTCTTTGAGTGCAAAGTCATTTAAAGAGGTACTTTGTTTTCTCGCAGGATATTTCCCTCCTTCCAGATGTTCAATAATTTCCTTCCATCGCTGTTCCTTCATCTGAAGTTCTCTCATTTTATCGCTCGCAATCGTTTCAATGTTTACATTCATATTGACGGTGGCAATGTTCCTACTTAGCGCATCAGGAACCGAGGAACGCATAGCGCATCATCTCCAGGGAAACTGTGGAACAACATACGAGTAAGTACGGCTCTCTTGTACTAAAGCACCTCATTCAGTACCCTTGGCCTCTAGTAGGGAATATAGTTAGGAGTATAGCCAAAGAGCAGGTCCTTCAAAGAAAGAAGGAAAGTATACACTAATTTGTATGTGATTACAGTACCGATTCCATAGACTAACGTGTATTTAGACCATACGGTCTACAAACTGCCTGAATATATTTTACCATTTACCACCTTCAACTCTTGTATCACATAGTATACTGTGTTTGAAGGTTATGCACTTCTTACATGTTAATATCACATGTGTGGATGCTGATCTATGCTGTTCTTTGTGTAGTAAATCGTAAGAGGCATGAGAACCTTAAATCGGTCATTATGCCCTTCTCTTGTTTGTCCGTTACTGTAAACTGGTGTGTATAGTTGCTTACAAAACATAAAACATTTTGTATAACTGTACTATACTGTACCTAATACTAATGTGCAACGAGGTTTCTTTAGATGTACAGGTATGACCATATCGATAGTTGTGGAAGACAGGATATGTTGAGATATCCAGTGTCGATATTGGATATCCCTCTCCCTTGTCCCTATATGACAAGGTTATGAACTATAGTGTTGTGCTGTAATTATACCCGTATCCCTTGTAGAGCATTTCTGGAAGGTATTATATTCTTGACCTTATATTAAGGCATTAAGCTTTTTTTTTTATTATTATTATTATTAAATTTTGTTAGGCAACTAATCTCAAATAGATTTCATTATTATTTTGTATACCAGTATAGATGAATAATACATTAATGTATATTATAAAGTGCTTCATGTCTTGTCTGCTAGTAGGCTACTGCCTTTATACTCCTTGGCTTATGAAGGCAAATTATCATAAAGAAAAGTAAAGTCATAATCGTGAGTGCAGCGGTAGCATGATTGGCTTTCCTTTCTTTGACAGTCTTGCTGGTTTGCCAGTGTGGCAACGTTGACACTGTTGTTGACAGCATTGTCAGGTTGACACTATTGTTGGGTTGGGTTGACAGTGTTAGACAGGTAAATTATGTTATAGATCTGATCCTTTTGCAGTACTGTATATAAAACAGAAGCTGTAGCGTCTACCATTGAATATTATTATTAACTTGACCTATATGTAGCTATATTCATGAATTACTGTACAGTATTTGAATACTGCAGTTTTGTACAATGATGAAAAGGTCATTGTAACTGTATATGTGTTATCTTATGATGATTCTGCTGTACATTAATAGTTTCATTCCTAATGACTATAAATAAAGCTTTGTTTACACAGGAAAACTTTGAAAAAAAATCATATATGATCTCATTATAAAGAAGACAAAATTAACTTAAAAAAGAAATCGTGATATTTTGCATATTTTCTGCCATAACTTTAGTGTATAATCTATCTATTGCAAAAGTGTACAGTACTTGCAAATAACAATTAAGTGAATTACCTGTAGTTACACTCATGTAGGAATAAAGACAACTCTTAACACAGTATTGCAGTCTAATTCTCCACTAAAATTATTTATTCCACAAGTACTCAGTGAGGCAGTGATACACAAAGGTAATTTTGGCTTCAGGGGTAAGAAGATAGAGACTTTATTCATAACGACCTATAGAAATGGTTACATTTCCCTATGCACCACTCTTCCTATATGGCACTGCCCCTATATGCCACTGTGTCTATAGTGTCCCTACATGACTGTCCCTATATACCACTGTCCCTATATGACATTGTCCCTATATACCACTGTCCTTATATGACATTCTCCCTATATACCACTGTCCATATATGACACTCCTACATGCCACTGTCCCTATGACACTTCATATATGACACTGTCCCTATATGACACTCCTACATGCCACTGTCCCTATGACACTTCATATATGACACTGTCCCTATATGACATTATCCCTATATAACACTGTTCCTATATGCCACTGTCCCTATATGACACTCCTATATGCCACTGTCCCAATATGACACTGTTCATATATGACACTGTCCCTATATGACATTGTCCATATATTGTCCCTATATGACACTGTCCCTATATATGCCACAGCGCGTATGTCCACAAAAGAGGACTCCTAACCTCAATGTTAACACACCATACATTCCTCCGTCTGCGAGCGGTGGGTCGTGTGGCTGTACTGGTAACAAACACAACACCTAGATAACCTATCCTCTTGGCCTTCCTCCTTCCAAGAGGATAGGTTATCTATCCTGTTAGATAGATAACATTTTGCAACGTTATAGACGGTGGGAAAAGGTTCTGATTAGGTTTCCAATTGGCCATAGTCACGGGCATCTAGTGGTAGAAATAGCCTAGGCTACTCTTATCTCCTTTGAGATGTATTTCTTTCTTGTCTCAATAAACATACTTGAACTTGAAGTAGAGCGCCGCTCTGCTACTTACTGTCCGAAATGCATTGTCCCTCTTACGGTCGTGGACCTCCTTGAAGAATGTTCCGATTTACAGGACCTTCGTATGTCTTGCTTCCCTTATGTCCCAACTGATCATTTGTCCCTGGATAAAACCCTGGTGGATCAGATACTTCTTGATATCGCTCGCCTTATATTCTTTATTTGTTGTGGTATTGGCATCCTCGGTGATATTTAGCGTTTTTTGAGTATCCTGCAACACTGATGATGCTATATAGTCTCCCCGGCTCGGTGCCTTCTTTCGGTACTTAATTGTACTTATACACCACTTACTCTGTATGTCACAGGATTACTACTTCTACATCAAAGGATGCCAAGGATCTCACGTGTCCCTTGCAGTTGTATACAAGGTCAAGTTCAGACTGAAACAGACACAGGGGTGAGAACTGTGAGGGGGACGGGGGAACTGTCTAGATTCTGGAGGACGAACCAGTGCCTCAGGTCGACTGGATATATCCTTGTAAAGGGTTAAGTATCATTTAAAATTGATATTCTCTCTCTGTGTCTCTGTCTGTCTCTCTCTCTCTCTCATACCCTAGTGTGTGTGTGTGTCCTTTAGGATTCCTGAGCCTATTGGGCTCTTATCATATCTACATTTGAAACTGACTGGAGTCAGCCTCCATCACATTACTGCCTAATACATTCCATCTGTTAACTACTTTGACCTCTGACACTGAAAAATTCTTTCTAATGTCTTTGTGGCTCATTTGAGTACCAAGTTTCCACTTGTCTTCCCTTGTTCATGTTCCGCCCATGCTATATAGTTTGTCTTTGTCCACCCTGTCAATTCCCCTGAGAATTTTGTACGGGTGATCATATCTCCCATAACTCTTCTGTCTTCCAGGGACGTGAGGCTTAATTCCCGTAGCCTTTCCTCGTAACTCATACCTATCAGCTCTTGAACTTGTCTGGTGGCATACCTCTGAATCTTCTCCAACTTTGTCTTGTGTTTATCTAGATATGGACTCCAGGCTAGAGCTGCATACTCCAGTATTGGTCTGACATATGAGGTCTACAAGGTTCTGAATGATAACATTATATTGTACTCACCTAGTGGGGTAGGTGTAGGTGTATATCGTGTACCTACTCTATCCCTTTGAGATGTATTTTCTTGTCTCAATAAACATACTTGAACTTGTAAGCCTCTGACCACACAACACACCTATGTACTTATGTCATTCCTTGGTGGTGCTGTATCCAGGATATGGCCAGTTTTTTGTGGGGTAGCATTCTGGGGAGGGTCAGTAGTTCTACCCTGGTGGTGGGAACATTGATATAAGCCTATTGGCCTAACATGTATATATATATACACTGCCTGCCTGTCCCCCCGACACAATGAATTATTTATTAAATTAAGCTGATAATTGTGAAACAAATATAAATTTGACAAAAATAGCCTGCTAGACCATTCATCTCTGCGCATAGTTTATATATATTTAATAAAAAATAGATGTGCCTATTAAAAGACATGTATGTATGTATTATTAAATTCCAGTAACCTCGTATGCAAATCGTCATACGTCAGACAGATGTGCGCCCTCACAGCTGAGATGATGCTTCCTACCAGAGTTTCCGCTTACTGTTGTTTTCTAACACATAAAGACATTAAATGTATAGATATTTCGTATAATTATATATAATGCTGTAAAGTATGTCGAATAAAACATAAATGTTAATATATTTTTGGTCTATCTGTGTATGACACGTTTTCCTAGACTGGCCAGGCAGCCTTGAACAACAAATCCGATAAGTTTTCAGTACTCGATCAGTCGCTGTGTTGTACGGTTGGCCGTGTAGTGAAATTTACAGCCGATTTACCCTTGCCTAGCACCCAAATCGAGATATTTTTACGAGAAACGACCACCAAATCCGGCCGACTATCATGCGCATACAGAGATCTTGTAGCAGCTGTGCAGGAGAGTGAAGAGAAGTGCAGGTTTAGACCGGAGTCGCAGTCCGCCATATTCGTTGTGCAGAGGAGAGGCAGCTGGAGAGTCCGGCCTGTGTCCTCTAGCCTCTTGCTGCACCCTACAACACCTGCTGCACCAACACCTCCCCTTCGTCAGGAAGGCCAAGGACTGATACAAGAGTGCGACTGGTGGCTGCACTATCCCCAGTTAACCCATCCAGTTAACTACCCATTGAACTCCTCCACCGTCTCGGCCTAGATTTAAAGTTCTGCAAATTGGTCTTGAGTTGATCGATATAAATCAGTACCACGTTAACTAGGGGAGTGAGAGGGACTTCAGGGAGGCTCTTGGCACGGTCGCTACCGTAGTGAAGGTTGGACGTAGGCCTATAGAGGGACAAAAAAGGATGGCTATGCAGCCGTCGAGCAGCGCCGTGCGAGCCTTGTCTCTGGAGTACCGAGGCCTCCAGGATGAGCCCGTCGAGGGCTTCTGCGTCAAGCTCCTCAACGAGGACAACCTCTTCGAGTGGGAGGTGGCCATCTTCGGGCCCCCAGACACGCTATATCAAGGAGGATATTTCAAGGTAGGCCTAAACACCCCATCCTCCCCTATCTTGGTATGATAGACCCCATCTTGATAGATAGACCACATCTTGATATAGACCCCATCTTGATAGATTGATCTTGACGCTAGATAGACCCATCTTCACCCCTATCTTGACGCTAGATAGACCCCATCTTCACCCCTATCTTGACGCTAGATAGACCCCATCTTCACCCCATCTTGATAGACCCCCATCTTGATAGATAGTCCCCATCTTGATATAGACCCCCATCTTGATATAGACCCGATCTTGAACCCACCTTGATAGATAGACCCGATCTTGAACCCATCTTGATAGATAGACCCCATCTTGATAGATAGACCCGATCTTGACTCCGTCTTGATAGGTAGACCCCATCTTGATAGGTAGACCCCATCTTGACGCTAGATAGACCCCATCTTGATAGACCCCATCTTGATAGATAGACCCCCCATCTTGATAGATAAACCCCCATCTTGATAGATAGACCCCCATCTTGATAGATAGACCCCCATCTTGATAGATAGACCCCATCTTGATAGATAGACCCCATCTTGATAGATAGACCCCCTTGATAGATAGACCCCATCTTGATAGATAGACCCCCCATCTTGATAGATAGACCCCCCATCTTGATAGATAGACCCCCATCTTGATAGATAGACCCCCATCTTGATAGATAGACCCCCCATCTTGATAGATAGACCCCCCATCTTGATAGATAGACCCCCCATCTTGATAGATAGACCCCCCATCTTGATAGATAGACCCCCCATCTTGATAGATAGACCCCCATCTTGATAGATAGACCCCCATCTTGATAGATAGACCCCCATCTTGATAGATAGACCCCCATCTTGATAGATAGACCCCCCATCTTGATAGATAGACCCCCCATCTTGATAGATAGACCCCCATCTTGATAGATAGACCCCCATCTTGAAAGATAGACCCCCATCTTGATAGATAGACCCCCCATCTTGATAGATAGACCCCCCATCTTGATAGATAGACCCCCCATCTTGATAGATAGACCCCCCATCTTGATAGATAGACCCCCATCTTGATATAGACCCCCATCTTGATAGATAGACCCCATCTTGATAGATAGACCCCATCTTGATAGATAGACCCCCCATCTTGATAGATAGACCCCCATCTTGATAGATAGACCCCCCATCTTGATAGATAGACCCCCCATCTTGATAGATAGACCCCCCATCTTGATAGATAGACCCCCCATCTTGATATAGACCCCCATCTTGATAGATAGACCCCATCTTGATAGATAGACCCCATCTTGATAGACCCCCATCTTGATAGATAGACCTCCCATCTTGATAGATAGACCTCCCATCTTGATAGATAGACCTCCCATCTTGATAGATAGACCTCCCATCTTGATAGATAGACCCCCCATCTTGATATAGACCCCCCATCTTGATATAGACCCCCCATCTTGATAGATAGACCCCCATCTTGATAGATAGACCCCCCATCTTGATAGACCCCCCATCTTGATAGATAGACCCCCCATCTTGATAGATAGACCCCCCATCTTGATATAGACCCCCCATCTTGATATAGACCCCCCATCTTGATAGATAGACCCCCCATCTTGATAGATAGACCCCCCCATCTTGATAGATAGACCCCCCCATCTTGATATAGACCCCCCATCTTGATAGATAGACCCCCCATCTTGATATAGACCCCCATCTTGATATAGACCCCCATCTTGATATAGACCCCCATCTTGATATAGACCCCCATCTTGATATAGACCCCCATCTTGATATAGACCCCCATCTTGATATAGACCCCCATCTTGATATAGACCCCCATCTTGATATAGACCCCCATCTTGATAGATAAACCCCCATCTTGATAGATAGACCCCCATCTTGATAGATAGACCCCATCTTGATAGATAGACCCCCCATCTTGATAGATAGACCCCCATCTTGATAGATAGACCCCCATCTTGAAAGATAGACCCCCATCTTGATAGATAGACCCCCCATCTTGATAGATAGACCCCCCATCTTGATAGATAGACCCCCCATCTTGATAGATAGACCCCCCATCTTGATAGATAGACCCCCCATCTTGATATAGACCCCCATCTTGATAGATAGACCCCATCTTGATAGATAGACCCCCCATCTTGATAGATAGACCCCCATCTTGATAGATAGACCCCCCATCTTGATAGATAGACCCCCCATCTTGATAGATAGACCCCCCATCTTGATAGATAGACCCCCATCTTGATAGATAGACCCCATCTTGATAGATAGACCCCATCTTGATAGACCCCCATCTTGATAGATAGACCTCCCATCTTGATAGATAGACCTCCCCGCTTGATAGATAGACCTCCCATCTTGATAGATAGACCTCCCATCTTGATAGATAGACCTCCCATCTTGATAGATAGACCCCCCATCTTGATATAGACCCCCCATCTTGATAGATAGACCCCCCATCTTGATAGATAGACCCCCCATCTTGATAGATAGACCCCCCATCTTGATAGATAGACCCCCCATCTTGATAGATAGACCCCCCATCTTGATATAGACCCCCCATCTTGATATAGACCCCCCATCTTGATAGATAGACCCCCCATCTTGATAGATAGACCCCCCATCTTGATAGATAGACCCCCCATCTTGATATAGACCCCCCATCTTGATAGATAGACCCCCCATCTTGATATAGACCCCCATCTTGATATAGACCCCCATCTTGATATAGACCCCCATCTTGATATAGACCCCCATCTTGATATAGACCCCCATCTTGATATAGACCCCCATCTTGATATAGACCCCCATCTTGATATAGACCCCCATCTTGATATAGACCCCCATCTTGATAGATAAACCCCCATCTTGATAGATAAACCCTCATCTTGATAGATAAACCCTCATCTTGATTGATAGACCCCCATCATGATAGATAGACCCCCATCATGATAGATAGACCCCCATCATGATAGACAGACCCCCATCTTGATGCTTGATAGACAGACCCCATCTTTATAGATAGACCACCATCTTGACGCTAGATAGACCCCATCTTGAACACATCTTGATAGATAGACCCCATCTTGACGCTAGGGTGCTATTATATCAAGTGCATTATGCACTTAAACATGACTCATTGGTTTTCTCCAAATAAATCTCGTCTGTCCTAACACAAACACACTATGATAGCGGGTGAAACATTGTTCTTTAATTCATTTGATTGATTGCAATTGTGCAATTCAATTGACTTTTGATGATTAGTAAGCACAAGTGGCTTAAAGTGCAGTGGTTATTATTATTGTGTGTTTACCAACCTGTCTGTCAGTCACCTCACTTGACTGGGCCATCTCAAACCTGTTGTGTAGTTAGATTGAGTTAGATTGATAAACACTAGTATCGGTAGCCCCGTACTCAGCAAGTGTTAATATGGAAGTTAGTTTACATCTTATTTACAATGTTAGATATATATAATTATTATTTATATTTATGCAGCATCTGAGAAATGTAGCTATATTGTGTTGAACGCTGACCAAGTTATGAGTCTGTTGGTAACCGGAAGCGCCCCGCTGCTTTAGTAACAGCATAGAGATGTGTGAACCATCCCAACATACGAGTGTACCTGGGTAAACCCACCCAACATACGAGTGTACCTGGGTAAACCCACCCAACATACGAGTGTACCTGGGTAAACCCACCCAACATACGAGTGTCGACATCAATACACTGGTTTATTGTTGTAAAAAAACAGCTTCGACGTCAATACACTGGTTTAGTAAAAAAAACAGCTTCAACATCAATACACTGGTTTATTGTAAAAAACAGCTTCGACATCAATACACTGGTTTATGGTTGTAATAAACAGCTTTGACATCAGTACACTGGTTTATGTTGTAAATTTCTTCAATCAATAAATGTTGGTTAATAATAATGTGGTTAGACGTATTTAATAGCCGAGGACCACTGCACTGTTCTATAGTGCAGTGGTCCTCGGCTCACAATCAAGGATCCCGCGTTCGATTATCGGCCAGGACAACCGGTTAGCCAAGTTCCCTTTCACTAGATATCTCTGTTCACCTAGCAGTAAGCATGTACCAGGGAGGGAATTATCAGGGGAAAAGCGTTAAGCCACTACGACTATATAACGCCTGGAAGGGGTCTGGATAAGGATTTGGGATGGGACGGGGGAAAGGAATGGTGCACAACCCATTTGGACGGTCAGGGATGCTTCATGTCCCCAGCTATGGAAAGCATATATTTAACAAAGGCAACAGTATGGGTTTTCCAATTGTAAATTGGAAAACAAACCAAAGGCTGTGTATGGTGTTCATAGTTCAAACAGTTCCCGAAAGAATTTATTAGATAACTGTTCTGTGGTGAAAGTTTTTATCTGAGCGAAACGTTGTCAATAAAGCCTTTATCCCGTTTTATTTAAGATCTGTACAAGACCTTAAATAAAAGCTTTCTCTTGCTTCCTCTATACTTGTGGTATTTGCAGAACCTTGAACAAATAGAGGTGTGAATAAGTGAATACTGTATTTGTTTTTTCTTTTTTTTTTTTTGCCCGTCACCTTTAATATACTGTAATATTCACGTGTAGGCGAGTGGAAGACCAAAATCTTAGTGGCATAGTCTGTAAAGATTTATTGTGGGTGCTCGATCTTCTTAAAGCGTCAGAACACAAGTAACACTGCAGTTGTTACTTGTTCTTACTGGTCTATTTGTGGCAGATCCTCTTTAGATCCAATACCTTTGACTTGTGTAATATCTCTATGCCATTTGTAAAACTCGCTAAATTTGGGCTGTCATTTTGTACTTGAACATTTATATATTTAGTTGTCTTGTAAAGTAAATTAAATATTTGGTTTATTAAGAGCTGGCGTAGCGCCAAGAGACAAGAGAGTCGGCCAATTCCTGGTCTTCTAGGCTAGAGAATAAGTTTGGTGGGGGTTGGTAAATTTTGAATAAATA